CATCTGTGGCACCAGCACTAGGGGCTGGGGGGGTTCAGGAAGGCTCAGGGGGGCTCTGGGGGCTCAGGGGGGCTGCAGCAGCTCAGCCCAGCCCCTCGCTGGGCCAGCCCAGGGGGCTCAGCCCTGGTGTGGGGCGCTGGGCACGCGTGGCACAGGCTCCCCTTGGCGCTGCCAAGGAGCCGTGCCGGGCAGGAGGGTCCTGGCATGCTCATGTGTCCCCTCGTGTGACATCCTGCCAGGACAGGGACACGTGGCCCACCCAGCACCACACACCCTGCACGGCCCCATCCGTCCCACCCTGCCAACAGCCCCTGCCAGCCCTGCACAGCTGCCCTGGCACAGCCTGGCACCCCTGGCACCTACCTGGCCAGGAGCGGAGCCCAGCCCCCGCTGCTGCCACCCACACCGCCCGGGGAGGCGCGGGGGACACGGGGCCAGCAGGAGCCACCCCGCCGCCTGTCCCCTTCCCGGAGCCTTCCTGCCCACCCAGCCGGGCTTCCTGCGGCCGCCGGGCCTGGAACCAGCTCTGCCTTTCTCCTGCTCCCTCCCCTGGGCTGAGCCGGACAGGGAGGCTGCTCTGCACGGCCATGCCCGGCCCGGGACACGGGGTGACACTGGGGACACTCCCGGGGGGATTCCCCACCAGGGAGGCTGCTCTGCACGGCCATGCCCGGCCCGGGACACGGGGTGACACTGGGGACATTCCCGAGGGGGATTCCCCACCAGGGAGGCTGCTCTGCACGGCCATGCCCGGCCCGGGACACGGGGTGACACTGGGGACACTCCCGAGGATTCCCCACCAGGGAGGCTGCTCTGCAGCCAGTGCCCTGCCTGGGACCCGGGGTGACACTGGGGACACTCCCGAGGATTCCCCACCAGGGAGGCTGCTCTGCACGGCCCCTGCCCGGCCTGGGACATGGGGTGACACTGGGGACACTCCCGAGGATTCCCCACCAGGGAGGCTGCTCTGCATGGCCATGCCTGGGACACGGGGTGACACTGGGGACACTCCCGAGGATTCCCCACCAGGGAGGCTGCTCTGCACGGCCCCTGCCCTGCCGGACACGGGGTGACACTGGGGACACTCCCGAGGATTCCCCACCAGGGAGGCTGCTCTGCATGGCCATGCCTGGGACACGGGGTGACACTGGGGACACTCCCGAGGATTCCCCACCAGGGAGGCTGCTCTGCACGGCCCCTGCCCTGCCGGACACGGGGTGACACTGGGGACACTCCCGAGGATTCCCCACCAGGGAGGCTGCTCTGCACGGCCATGCCCGGCCCGGGACATGGGGTGACACTGGGGACACTCCTGAGGATTCCCTGCCAGGGAGGCTGCTCTGCACGGCCGTGCCCTGCCCAGGACACTGGGGTGACACTGGGGACACTCCCGAGGATTCCCCACCAGGGAGGCTGCTCTGCACGGCCGTGCCCTGCCCGGGACACGGGGTGACACTGGGGACACTCCCGAGGGGGATGGCGGAGGGTGGCACTTGGGGACTCCTGTGCCCACCCCGGCCCGGGGAAGGTGGCCCTGTCACCCGTGGCACCACCCTGCTGCGGGGTGTCCCTCTGCCAGGCGCAGCTGGCACTGGGGATGCTGGCCCTGGAGCCACGGCATGGCACAGCATGGCTCAGCATGGCACAGCATGGCTCAGCACGGCACGGCGCACCACAGGACAGCCTGGCACATCCTGGCACAGCTCGCCCACACCGTGACACCCGTGCCAGCCAGCCCCCTGCCCTGCCAGCTCCCCCTCTGGCACCCTGTGCCCTCTCACACCGCTGACAGGGCAAGGCCCCTCTGGCCACTGCCTGCCCACCTGGGCACGGCTGCTGGGGACCCCCAGATGGCACCCACAGGGCCAGCCTGGTGCCCATGGCATGTGCCAGCTCCCCCCAGCCTGCCCCGGTGCCCCTGGCACAGCGGGCTCTCCTCAGGGAGGGTATTTTCAGTAGCTCACGTCCGCAGGGGCTTCCCTGGCAGTGCCTGGGGCTGGACATGCCAGCTCTGCTCTCCTGGCACTGGGGGATGCCAGCCAAAGGGCCAGCTCTGGCACCAGCACTGGCACCAGCTGTGGCACCAGCACCGGCACCAGCACCAGCACCAGCACCTCTGGCACCATCAGCACCGGCACCAGCACCAGCTGTGGCACCAGCACCGGCACCAGCACCAGCACCAGCTCTGGCACCGGCTCAGGCACCAGCACCAGCACCAAGCACTATCTGTAGCACCAGCTCTGGCACCGGCTCTGGCACCAGCAGCAGCACCAGCACTGGCACCAGCTGAGGCACCAGCACCAGCACCAACTCTGGCACCAGCACCGGCACCAGCTCTGGCACCATCTGTGGCACCAGCACTATCTGTAGCACCAGCTCTGGCACCAGCTCTGGCACCAGCACCAGCTCTGGCACCAGCCGTGGCACCATCTGTGGCACCAGCACTATCTGTAGCACCAGCTCTGGCACCAGCTCTGGCACCAGCACCAGCTCTGGCACCAGCCGTGGCACCATCTGTGGCACCAGCACTATCTGTAGCACCAGCTCTGGCACCGGCTCTGGCACCAGCACCAGCACCAGCTGTGGCACCAGCTGTGGCACCAGCTCTGGCACCAGCACCAGCAGCAGCAGCAGCTCTGGCTCCAGCACTGGCACCAGCTCTGGCACCAGCCGTGGCACCAGCCGTGGCACAGCGCGGCTGTGTCGGAGCGCACAGGGACGGGCACCCAGCACGGCTCCGGGCAGGATGTGCCCGCTGCCCTGGCACTGCTGCCGTTCCTCCGTCGTTCCCGGTTCCCGGGCCCGGCTGCTCCCGCGGCGCTCTCCGCTTGCTCCCGTGCCAGCATTGTTCTTCCAGCAGCGCCTCCCCCGCCCCGCACGTTCCTCCCGGCCCGGGGCCACCGCCGGCGTGAGCCCGCACTGCCCCGGCCCGGTGACACTGCCCGGCTGGGCCGTGCCCCTGGCACCGGCGGGGCACGGACCAGGGACCAGGGACAGGGACCAGGGACAGGCACGGCAGGGATCAGGGACAGGGACAGGGAACAGGCATGGCAGGGATCAGGGACAGGGACAGGCATGGCAGGGATCAGGGACAGGCAGGGCAGGGATCAGGGACCAGGGACACGGACAGGGACAGGCATGGCAGGGACCAGGGACCAGGGACAGGCACGCCAGGGACCAGGGACAGGGACAGGCAGGGCAGGGACCAGGGACAGGCAGGGCAGGGATCAGGGACAGGCAGGGCAGGGATCAGGGACAGGGACAAGGGACAGGCATGGCAGGGATCAGGGACCAGGGACCAGGGACCAGGAAGAGGCAGCTCAGACCTGAAATGTCCCAGCTCATCATGAACCCTTGCTAGAAAGTTTTCCAAAAAGGATTTGCAGCCTTCTAAGGGTGGAGCTGCCTCAGCCCTGTTTGTCCCCCAGGCCCTGCTTGTTTCCCTGGCCCACTCATCACCCTGGGCCTGTTTGTCACCCCTCTGTCCCCTCCTGCGGGAATGAGGACCGGGGACACTGTGTGAGCCTGCAGACCAAGGCCACCTTCCCTCTGGGCCTGCAGCATCAGAGGAACCTGCTCCTCCACTCACACGGAATTCGTGGCACCAGCCAGGTGCCACCAGGCCACCCTGCAAGGAGATGGCTCCCCAGTGACACTGGGACACACCATGGACGAGCCACGAGTGTCCTCAGCCCCGTGCGCCCTGTCCCAGCACCCCGTGACTGCCAGCTGACCCCAGTGGGCACGGTGCTGGGTGGGCATCACCCGTGGGCAGGAGCTGGGGAGGCCCTTGGGGGCTCTGCTCCCCTGGCCCAGCAGCCCCAGGGTGGGGGACCAGGGTCAGAGCCCCCCAGGCAGAGAAAAAATGCACGGCAGGGCCTCGAGCAGAGCCACACAGGGCAGGATGGTGCCACCGGGCACAGGAGGGAGGGACAGCCCCTCTGGCTGCCCTCGGGTCCCCTCTGCCTCAGCACCCTGGCACACGGGGCAGCCAGGCCAGCCTGTGACACACCAGGAGCTGAGGTCTGTCACCAATGTGGCCACAGGGCAGTCCAGCCCCACGGGGACGCGCACTGCCACCCACCCGGTGCCCGCTGGCTCACCTGGGCATGCTTGCGCTTCCGCCCGGGCCGCCCGGCTTTCCTCATGGGCGTCCCCGGCTCCTGCTTCTCCTCCTTGCTCGGGTTCTCCTCGGGCTCCTCTTCCCCCTGCCAGCAGACACAGAGGAGGTTATGCCACCGGGCAGCCTGAGCTGGGCACGGCTCTGCTCCTGGGCTGGGCACAGCTCTGCTCCTGGGCTGGGCACGGCTCTGCTCCTGGGCTTGCTCCTGAGCAGCCCGGGCTGGGCATGGCTCTGCTCCTGGGCAGCCTGAACTGGGCACGGCTCTGCTTCTGGGCAGCCTGAGCTGGGCACAGCTCTGCTCCTGGGCAGCCTGAGCTGGGCACAGCTCTGCTCCTGGGCAGCCTAAACTGGGCACAGCTCTGCTCCTGGGCAGCCTGAGCTGGGCACGGCTCTGCTCCTGGGCTGGGCACGGCTCTGCTCCTGGGCTGGGCATGGCTCTGCTCCTGGGCAGCCTGAACTGGGCACAGCTCTGCTCCTGGGCTGGGCACAGCTCTGCTCCTGGGCAGCCTGAACTGGGCACGGCTCTGCTCCTGCGCGGTCACCACCGGGGGACAGGCGCCTGCCCGGCCAGCTGGGACCATTGTGGCATCGCCGGGCCAGCAGCACCAGGACACGTGGAAGGGTGACAGTGGCTCCTGCCACGCTTGGGCTGCGGCACCGGCGTGGCCCGGGAGCCTCAGCGGGTGACCCTCCTGCCCTGTGCCACCATGCCACCCACCAAACCCTGCCCCACGGAACGCAGCCACGGACACCTCAGGGCAGCCATGAGGCTCCCTGGGGACGAGGCCAGCAGCAGGAGCTGGGCACCCCCGGAGCGGGCAGCTGGCCGCTTTGGGGACCCCGCTGTGCCCCGGAGCAGCTGGCATTGCCCCGGCCCTGGTGCGGCGGCCCGGCCCCGGCGCTGGCAGCACGCACGTGCCAGCATGGCGGCGCGGCAGGAACGCGGCCCCGGGAAACGAACCTGCTCGCAGCCTGAGCTGGGCACAGCTCTGCTCCTGGGCAGCCTGAACTGGGCACGGCTCTGCTCCTGAGCAGCCCGGGCTGGGCATGGCTCTGCTCCTGGGCTGGGCACAGCTCTGCTCCTGGGCATCCTGGGCTGGGCACGGCTCATCTCCTGGGCTGGGCATGGCTCTGCTCCTGGGCAGCCTGAGCTGGACACAGCTCTGCTCCTGGGCTGGGCACGGCTCATCTCCTGGGCTGGGCACGGCTCTGCTCCTGGGCAGCCTGAACTGGGCACAGCTCTGCTCCTGGGCAGCCTGAACTGGGCACAGCTCTGCTCCACCACGGTCACCACCGGGGGACAGGCGCCTGCCCGGCCAGCTGGGACCATTGTGGCATCGCCGGGCCAGCAGCACCAGGACACGTGGAAGGGTGACAGTGGCTCCTGCCACGCTTGGGCTGCGGCACCGGCGTGGCCCGGGAGCCTCAGCGGGTGACCCTCCTGCCCTGTGCCACCATGCCACCCACCAAACCCTGCCCCACGGAACGCAGCCACGGACACCTCAGAGCAGCCATGAGGCTCCCTGGGGACGAGGCCAGCAGCAGGAGCTGGGCACCCCCGGAGCGGGCAGCTGGCCGCTTTGGGGACCCCGCTGTGCCCCGGAGCAGCTGGCATTGCCCCGGCCCTGGTGCGGCGGCCCGGCCCCGGCGCTGGCAGCACGCACGTGCCAGCATGGCGGCGCGGCAGGAACGCGGCCCCGGGAAACGAACCTACTCCCGTGCCGGGGCCCCGGTGCCGGGCAACCGGGGGGGACACGGCGGGCAAGGGGGGCGCGAGGCCCCGGCACGGCGCGGGGTCGCTTTCACCTGAGCCCCAGAAGATCCCGGCGGCAGCAGCCAAGCAGGAAGAGGCCACGGAGGGGGAGCGGGGGAAGGAGGAGAGGCCGGTGGGGGGCTGCTGAGGGAGAGGCCAGGGAGGGGATGGGGCTGGCAGCCAGACAGCGCCGGCAGGCAGCTGCAGCCGTGCAGCCCCGCGCCGCGGGCGCCAGCGCTGCCACATTCCTGCCTGCGCCCCTGCGCCGGGGCAGCCGCGCCAAGGATGCGGCTGCAACACCCCTGGGGCCCAGCACCGAGATCCCGTGGCACTGGGACACACTGTGCCCCTCGGCCCCACGGTTCTGGTGCCCCATGGCTCTGGTGCCCATGGCTCTGGTGCCCCATGGCTGTGGTGCCCATGGCTCTGGAGCCCCATGGTTCTGGTGCCCCATGGCTCTGCTGCCCATGGCTGTAGTGCCCCATGGCTCTAGTGCCCATGGCTGTGGTGCCCATGGCTCTGGTGCCCCATGACCGTGGTGCCCCATGGCTGTGGTGCCCCATGGCCGTAGTGCCCCATGGCTGTAGTGCCCCATGGCTGTGGTGCTCATGGCTCTGGTGCCCCATGGCTCTAGTACCCATGGCCGTAGTGCCCCATGGCTCTGGTGCCATGGCTGTAGTGCCCATGGCTCTGGTGCCCCATGGCTGTAGTGCCCATGGCTCTGGTGCCCCATGGCTGTGGTGCCCATGGCTCTGGTACCCATGGCTGTGGTGCCCATGGCTCTGGTACCCATGGCTCTAGTGCCCACGGCTCTGGTACCCATGGCAGTGGTACCCCATGGCTGTGGTGCCCCATGGCTGTGGTACCCCATGGCCGTGGTGCCCCATGGCTGTGGTGCCCATGGCTCTGGTGACCATGGCTCTGGTATCCCATGGCTGTAGTGACCATGGCTCTGGTATCCCATGGCTGTAGTGCCCATGGCTGTGGTGCCCCATGGCTCTGCGGTCCCATGGCTGTAGTGCCCATGGCTCTGGTGCCCCATGGCGCTAGTGCCCACGGCTCTGGTGCCCATGGCAGTGGTACCCCATGGCTGTGGTGCCCCATGGCTCTGCGGTCCCATGGCTGTAGTGCCCATGGCTCTGGTGCCCCATGGCGCTAGTGCCCACGGCTCTGGTGCCCATGGCAGTGGTACCCCATGGCTGTGGTGCCCCATGGCTCTGCGGTCCCATGGCTGTAGTGCCCATGGCTCTGGTGCCCCATGGCTCTGGTGCCCCATGGCTCTGGTGCCCCATGGCTGTGGTGCCCCATGGCTCTGCTGTCCCATGGCTGTAGTGCCCATGGCTGCGGTGCCCCATGGCTCTGGTACCCATGGCAGTGGTGCCCATGGCCGTAGTGCCCCATGGCCGTAGTGCCCCATGGCTGTAGTGCCCATGGCCGTGGTGCCCATGGCTGTGGTATCCCATGGCTCTGGTGCCCCACTGCCATGGTGGCCCAGCCACGGTCCCCAAAGCAGCTCCTCTGTGCCACCCCCCCAGGCTCAGCTGCACGCCCCGTGCCCGCTGCTGCCTGCCTGCCCTGCCTGCCTCGGTGCCCGTGGGATGCACGGGAGCCAGTGTAGGTCTGTCCCCAGCCCATGGTGTCCCTCCAGAACCGTGCTTGTCCCAGCCCTGCTCGCCTGCCTGTGGGGCTGGGCAGCCTCCAGCCCCTGCACAGACCCCCCCAGCCCTGCAAGGACCCCCAAGCCCCATGCGGGGACCCCCAGCCCTGGCACCTGCTGGCACTGCCAGTGCTGAATGAGCACAGGAGACAGCACAGCACGCAGGGGCTCTGCCAGGGTAGGGACCCACTCCCCACAGCATCCTGCTGGCAAGTTTTGGGACAGGCCCAAGGACGATGTCAGGATCCCAGATCCAGCAGCATCCTGGTGCAAAGTCCCTGAGGGGACTCTGGGGGTCTCTGCCCCACAGGGCCCCTGTGCCTTGCTGTGCTGCAAGGCCAGGCCAGCACCCAGGGGTGCAGGCCAGCCCCAGGGAGACCCTGGCACCTGTCCCTTTGCCCCTGGCTGGCTGCTGGCACTGCCCCAGCCAGCTGTCCCTCACCACAGTTCAACTCATCCAGGCCCTGGCAGCATCTAGTGGATGCACATGAAAGATTTGGGGGTGTCATGTGCACCAGGTGGTAGCCAGGCCTCCCCTGGCCGGGAGGGGATGCAGCTGGGGAGCACCCAGTGGTCCCAGAGAGGCCAGGGGGGCTCCAGGGTGAAAAGCTGGAAGTACAGAGCTGGCTCGAGGGCTGCCACGGTGGGGGGTCCCTACTGTGGAACCAGGGAGATGCCCCCAGCACCTATCAGGAGCCCTCCCGGGGGCACAGCCAGCACCCCAAGAGCAGGGCAGGAGTGGGGGTGCAGCCCTGGCAGCAGCAGGGCTGGCAGAGGCTCCGGGGGGGCTCTGTGCCCCCAGCCCGGCAGGGGCCGGTGCCGCAGCCCCTCGCCGCCGCATCCCGCCGGGAGCTGAGTCATCGCCCATCGCTCACCCCGCGCCCTTCCCCGGAGCGCGGGGCTCCGCCGCACGTCCCCGGGGCCGCTCCTGCTCCGCTGCCAAGCAACAGCCCGGAGGGAACGGCGGCCGAGCGCGGCGGGGTGAGCTGCGGCATGACGCAGTGCTGGCTGCGCCGCCAGCCTGCTACGGGCACTGCCACCCTGCTACGGGCACTGCCACCCTGCCCCGGGCACTGCCACCCTGCTACGGGCATTGCCAGCCCTACCCCGGGCACTGCCACCCTGCTCCGGGCACCGCCAGTACAGCCCCAGGCACCGCCAGCCCTGCCCCGGGCACCGTCGGCACAGCTCCGGGCACTGCCAGACCCACTCCAGGCACTGCCAGCCCTGCCCCGGGCACTGCCAGCACAGCCCCGGGCACTGCCACCCTGCTACGGGCACTGCCACCCTGCTCTGGGCACTGCCACCCTGCTCCGGGCACCGCCGGCACAGCCCCGGGCACTGCCACCCTGCCCCGGGCACTGCCACCCTGCTACGGGCACCGCCAGCACAGCCCCGGGCACCGCCAGCCCTGCCCTGGGCACTGCCACCCTGCTACGGGCACTGCCAGCACTGCCCCGGGCACTGCCAGACCCACTCCAGGCACTGCCAGACCCACTCTGGGCACTGCCAGCACAGCCCCGGGCACCGCCAGCACAGCCCGGCCCGCTGCCCCGGGGGACCCGGCTGCGCAGACCTGCCCCGGCTGGGAGCGGGGCTCGGCCCCGCCGGGAGCCACCGGCACCGGCCCGCTCTGCCGTGCCGGAGGCACCGGGGGAGGCTCGGCCCCGCCGGCCCCGCGGGCAGCGGCCGCCCTCGGCACGGTGACCTCGGCACGGTGACCTGGGCAGGGTGACCTGGGCACGGTGACCTCGGCACGGTGACCTGGGCACAGTGACCTCGGCACGGTGACCTGGCCACGGTGACCTCGGCACGGTGATCTGGGCACGGTGACCTGGGCAGGTGACCTCGGCACGGTGACCTCGGCGCGTGGCCGCGGGGGAGGCGACGCCGCATCCCGCGGGGTCAGCCCGGGACAGCACCCGGCAGACTGACCCGCCCCCGGGGTACCCGTGCCCCCAGCTGTGCCAAGGACGTGCTGGTCACATCCCAGGGGACACAGGGCCACATCCCAAGGGACACAGGGCCACATCCCAAGGGACACAGGGCCACATCCCAAGGGACACAGGGCCACATCCCAAGGGACACAGGGCCACATCCCAAGGGACACAGGGCCACATCCCAAGGGACACAGGGCCACATCCCAAGGGACACAGGGCCACATCCCAAGGGACACAGGGCCACATCCCAAGGGACACAGGGCCACATCCCAAGGGACACAGGGCCACATCCCAAGGGACACAGGGCCACATCCCAAGGGACACAGGGCCACATCCCAAGGGACACAGGGCCACATCCCAAGGGACACAGGGCCACATCCCAAGGGACACAGGGCCACATCCCAAGGGACACAGGGCCACATCCCAGGGGACACACGGCCACATCCCAGGGAACACTTGGGCACATCCCAAGGGACATAGGGCCACATCCCAGGGGACACACTGGGCACATCCCAGGGGGCACACGGGCACATCCCAGGGAACACTTGGGCCACATCCCAAGGGACACAGGGCCACATCCCAGGGGACACACGGGCACATCCCAGGGAACACAGGGCCACATCCCAAGGGACACACTGGGCACATCCCAGGGGACACACTGGGCACATCCCAAGGGACACACGGGCACATCCCAAAGGACACACGGGCACATCCCAGGGAACAGCTGTCCCCTCGGGCCGCTGGCAGCAAAGGCCAGAGGACGGGGAGCAGCAGCGTGCGAGAACAGCGTGACCCCGGCGGCCAGCAGGACCTGGGCTGACCCCGGCCTGGCCGTGCCCGCAGTGGGACCGTGTCCAGCTGGCCGCAGCCCCGGTGCCCACGCCTTGCCCAGCCCTGCCCCGCGCTGCTGGACACTCCCCCGCAGGAAGAGCCACGGCTTTGCCAGCCCTGGCACTGGGAGCAGCCACCCTGGCCCAGCACTTGGCCGGGGTGTCCCTGCTGAGCCTGGTGTCACACATAGAGGAGCTGCAGGGACCCCCGGAACAGGCGGGACCCCCCAAATGGGGAGCAGGGCTGGCACGAGGGTTACAGGCCACCATGTGTCCCGCCCGGCACAGGGCATGAACCCAGCACACGCTCTGGGGCCAGGACATCCCCCATCCTGAGGGATACACCCCTCCTGGGGACACCCCCACCCTGCCAGCCGCCTTGCAGCCGGGAGGTGACAGCAGGTCTCTGTCCCCAGCGCTAGGAATAGCTCAATCCGCGCTAATCCCGCCGGCGGCTCAGGCCTCTCCCGCACGGGGGTGGCACGGGGGGCCCCGCACCCCCTTCTCCTGCTGGCCGGGAAGGAGCCGAGCCCCGGAGCCCCCGGGCCGGGCTCCCCCGGGATGGAGCGGGCTCCCCGGGATGGGCCGGGCTCCCCCGGGATGGAGAGGGCTCCCCCGGGACGGGCCGGGCTCCCCCGGGACGGGCCAGGCTCCCCCGGGATGGAGCGGGCCACCCCGGGATGGGCTGGGCTCTCCCAGGATGGAGCAGGCTCCCCCGGGATGGAGAGGGCTCCCCCGGGACGGGCCGGGCTCCCCCGGGACGGGCCAGGCTCCCCCGGGATGGAGCGGGCCACCCCGGGATGGGCTGGGCTCTCCCAGGATGGAGCAGGCTCCCCCGGGATGGAGAGGGCTCCCCCGGGATGGAGAGGGCTCCCCCGGGACGGGCCGGGCTCCCCCGGGACGGGCCAGGCTCCCCCGGGATGGAGCGGGCCACCCCGGGATGGGCTGGGCTCTCCCAGGATGGAGCAGGCTCCCCCGGGATGGAGAGGGCTCCCCCGGGATGGAGAGGGCTCCCCCGGGACGGGCCGGGCTCCCCCGGGACGGGCCAGGCTCCCCCGGGATGGAGCGGGCCACCCCGGGATGGGCTGGGCTCTCCCAGGATGGAGCAGGCTCCCCCGGGATGGAGAGGGCTCCCCCGGGATGGAGAGGGCTCCCCCGGGACGGGCCGGGCTCCCCCGGGACGGGCCAGGCTCCCCCGGGATGGAGCGGGCCACCCCGGGATGGGCTGGGCTCTCCCAGGATGGAGCAGGCTCCCCCGGGATGGAGAGGGCCGGTGTGGGGCACAGGGGGCGCGGTGTGAGGCGTGGGGAGCCCAGAGGGGTGCAGCTGTGGGGCATGGTGTCCATGCTGTGGGGTGCAGGGTGTGGGCACAGGGTGATGGGTGCAGTGTCCATGGTGTGGGGTGCAGCTGTGGGTTCAGGGTGCAAGGCACAGGGTGCAGGGTGTGGGGTACAGTGTCCATGCTGCGGGGTGCAGTGTCCATGCTGTGGGGTGCAGAGTGTGGGTACAGGGTGATGGGTGCACAGTGTCCAAACTGGGGGGGGTATGGGGTGCACGCTGTACCCCAGGCACAGCCCAGTGCCGGCCAGGGGACTCCCCCCGGCCCCTTCCCTCAGCAGCCCGGGGAGCCCCCGGGGAAGCCCCGTCCCCTTGGTGGCACAGCGGTGCCACCCCACGCCAGCTGCCCGCGGGCACGCTCGGCCCCGGCCCGGCACTTGGCCCCGGGGCACCGGGATGCCGCCGGTGAGGGGCCAGGGCTGGCACCCCGCACCCCCCGCACCCCCCGGCCACCGCTACCGGCTCCCCTGTCAGCGGCCCCCCAGCCCCGCGGCACGGCACGGCACGGCACGGCACGGCACGGCACGGCACGGCACGGCACGGCATCTCGGCCCGCCGCTCGTCGCCTCCCGGGGTGTCGCTGCCGGAGCCCCCCACCATCCCCGAGCCCCCCGGGACCCCGCGCCCGCCGCGCCTCGGCACGGCCCCGGGGCGGGCACGGCACGGCACGGCACGGCACGGCACGGCACGGCACGGCACGGCACGGCACGGCGGACACGTGCAGCGGGAAGCACCGGGGACACCGCGGCCGCACCGGGCACCTCGGGGGGATCCCCCGCGCCCGGCGGCGCCGCGGGGGTCCCGCAGCCGGGGGTCTCCTCCCGCAGCCCCCGGCCCCCCCACGGCAGCGGGGACCCTCCGGCAGCCCCGGG